AACAGGCCAGCACCGATTCAACAAGCTGGGACTGCGTGCTGTTACCGCTGAACGACCAACGGCCCGCTGCTAACATGGACTCGGAATACAACTGCCGAAGTCTAGGCAGGTGGCCGGTGCAATTCTACAAAATATGTATGCCATCCCGCCAAGATGGTTCGTATGTTGGGCCAACGGTACAAATACCGTGAACCAGAGGGAACAATGATATCTCTGGGCCATGGATTATTTTTGTTCCGTGTTGGGGGTGCGCGATAGGGAGCGATCGAGGGAGAAAAACGAAAAACGAAAACTGCAATGAGAAAACGGAGCCACCGACCTGCTGCACACACTTGGCCTCGTCTTTTGGATTCAATGCAAGCTAGGGCTTGGGTTGGGGTTAGGGTTAGGCTTGTTACCGAGGGTGAGACATGAAAGATATCACCCCTCCCCCCTGCCCCTGTACCGATTCTTCAAAGCTGGATTTCTCCACCAGCAGAAAGAGTGTCAGCGCCGAAAACAGCGGCATCGAAGCCGCCTCGTCGAGAGCTTTCTGAAGGCGTATCATCGTTAAAAAGAGCTTTGAAAAATCGGTGCCAGGGGGATGGTATCTTATCTTGGGTGCCGCCTACGGCATGCATACCCTTCGTCGTGGAGAAATCGACCTTGGAAATTTTAGTCCAGGGGGTATGGTGTCTTACGTCACGTACGGTACGACAACGGTCAGGCGAAGGTCGGTCGGGAATGGCCATCGAAGGCGTGTACCTCCCTCCGACCGACGAAGAAGACCGAGAGATAGCAGAGCTTGGGGTGCGTCGCTGGCGGAGTCAGGGGAGATCGTGCAACATGCCTCGCAGCTTCCTCTTTTGTCACGCGCATTTTTGCGGTCACAAAAAGAAGCGATTTTTCCCTTTCATCTTTCGAGTCTGTTCTGGTCGCAGGGAGCGAGCTTCCCTTTCCCGTTTTCATTTGAAAACGGGATTGAAAACGGGATTGAAAACGGGAAAGGGAAGCTCGCTCCCTACGACCAGAACAGACTCGGAAGGACAACGGACAAGTTCGCTCCGTGCGACCGAAACAGGAAAGACGGCACAGGGGATCTTTCCTCCTAGCTGCCACGACAACGCACGTGACAAGAGAAAGCCGCGCGGCATATCGCCGCACGATCTCCCTGACCCCGGTGACGACACACCCCAAGCTTTGCTATATCTCGGTCTATTTCGACGGTCAGAGGGAGGCACACGCCTTCGATGGCCATTCCCGACAGAGGGCGTGTTCCGCTTGCTGCCCGTTGTTGCATGTCTACGCGGCCCCCTTGTGGGCAACGAAGATTGCTGCAAGCACCGCGATGTTCTGCCAAGGAAGTGATGCAGAGAGAGCGCAGAGCAGCACAGCAGGAGACCAACCATTCTCGTTCCACACAGAGTGCCACGAAGAAGTGCCTACTATGGCGGGGAAAAAAACAACTTGCGCAAAAAAAGAAACCCCGATAAGGATCCAAAAAGATCACATAGAAAACAATATCGGCCCGACTGATCAAAACGCCCAGAGACAGCTTGGTTCCCTACGACAGCACATCCAACAAGAACGCCCCACGATCAATTCCTGTGCCCTTCCCACCTGTGTTGCCCGCCGTCGCCGCTCCCGCTCCTTTCCCTCTTCACGCTGCTGCTGCTGCTGTCTCCTTGCTCAGCCCCCCCGCNCCGCCGCCGCCGCTGCGGCCGCCGCCGCAGCAGCAGCAGCCGCAGCCGCGGGGGCCCCGTACGGCACCGTCGACGAGCGGTACATGTGGGGGAACGGAGAGGGGGCCCCGACGTGGTGCGGGGAGTACCCCGCGGCGGGCGGGGGAAAGCCTCCATAGAAACCCGGAGGGGGGAAGCCGTAGCCGCCGGCCGGACCCATCCCGGGCGGCGGCGGGGGCATGGGAGGGTACCGGTGGTACGGGGAGAAGGTTCCCGGATAGGGCTGGTGGTGGTGCGGAGGGCGGGGGCCGCCGCCGCCGGCCGCCGCCGCCGGGTCTTGCCACGGCCTCCCGTAGATGCCTCGGGCGAATCTGAGGGCAAGGAATTGGGCATGGAGGGTTGGAGAGGGGTTGGGGGGGGGCAACGTGGGGGGGCATCGTGGGGTAGGGGAGCACGACGGGTACATACAGTCAAAGCAGGTTAGCGGGAGCCTCGGGTG